GTATTGTCTCTAAGTTATTTTTAGCATTGGCGTAATATCATTAAATCTATAACCGAAAAGTTCAACCTTAATTAAATTTTGCCCGCACTGGACAAAATTCTTAGGTTCGCCCCTGATTGAACCCATAGCATTTTCAATCTTTGATTCATGAACCAATTCAACTATACATAGAGCATGTTTTGGTGGAGCAAATTTAGCTACCATACCAATAATAATTGTGTAAAAAGAGTTAAAATGTAATTTTTCAAGATTTATTAAATATTAAGTAGGTCATTTTTAGGTTTCATGAACTGTGTGATAATACATAACACTGTCAAATCAGGAAAATGAATGATAGGTTTCTCAATTTCAACATTGAGCTGCCGAATATCTGTAAATGAATAATCTTTGGAGTGGTTTTGGGATTTTTTCTGGAGGATCATTCAAGTGAGAGTCGAAATTCACAAAATTTCAAAAGGCATTAATTAGGGACTTTCATCTTGGTCAAAACGTATGCATAGAGCATATTTGGTTGACTAAATTTAGGTACCATATTTATTATTTCTAAGAGTTGGGTTGTATTTCACATTTTGTTTTTACTTTAATATTACAGTAATAATTGTATAAAAAAAGTAAAATGTAATTTTTGAATATTTAATAAATATTAAGTAGGTGGTGCAAATTCCACAAAGAACAAGATAATGAAGACAAATGAGTTTCTTGAAGATATAGGGCCCAGTATGAGTTTTTATTTATTTTTGCCTTAGAAATTGGCCAAAATTCGATTTATTATTTCATTGTAGTTTATTTATTTTCTTTTATTTATCTGAATGAGTAATTATCATTTAGAATGTCATTCATTTAAAATTAGGAATTAGCGTCGGTTTAAGAACTATAAATGTCATGTATTCATGATTTGGTAAGTTTTCACCATTTAAGTTCCATTTAAATTAGATTTGACAAATTGTTTGAGATGCCCAAATAATTAGCACTGCATGTTAATTTTGATTAATGTACAAAGATGTTAATTATTTAAATGAAAATCCAACAGTTCAAAATATTGTGAGGTAGTGGGCCGATTATATAATCGACACACGGTCTAAGATCAAATTTGTAATAACTACTTAACCCATGTCATATCTCAATCGGTCACATATATAAAGGAAGGTTATGAAAAGAAATTGCTGAATTTGAATCCCTTATGGAGGATTCTCTAAATAAAATTTATTGTTTGATCATCATATAGATGGGGTTAATAGATCCAATTATTTGGAGGGACATGGATAAATATTTTACACTTGAATTGAAGTAGCTAATTATTTTCCACCGGGCGCTCTTGCTCTTGAAATTTATGACCAAATGACACAATACTCATTTGTTAAGATTTTGAAATCGGTTTAAGAGAAACTAGTGGGAAGATCCTAATTTAATACGCACCAACAGTGATGTATTCTATATGAATTATGCTACAGAGCTCGGGATTAAATCCCGGGCTCCGTTCCAGGGCCGAGGTGGCGCATGCCTTGGCCCTTGATCTTAATACATGGGGCCCGCGTCCCTTTACACCAGGGGCTGAGATTTCGCCACCTCAGCCCCTGGATTTAATCCCGGGATCTGCAGCATTTTTTATTCTATATAAGTGGTCGATGGACTGCAAAAGGCCTAAGTACTATTGTACATTTATAATTTTGGATCTACATATACATTCATCAGTTACATACTAAATTATCTAATTTTGCAAATTTATTTATGCATTTTTTTTTTTTTTAGCTTATTTTAAGGAAATCGTGACTCTCAATCCCTATACTTACAAAACAATATATCATCTAAACTGAACAAAGTCATGTTGGTGAAAGCTATGTTGACTGGAAGTGTAATCTCATTCTTTCTCTCAAAATACAAAAGCTAGAAGATGTATTTCAACATGATTCTTGCAGCACTTTATCTTAGTATGGACACCTCTCAGGAAATGACGCTGTCACTCGAAATCACAGGAGTGGATTGGCTAAATGTGAAGATTTGAAAGCACATCCATGTTGTGTAGAATGCCAGTCATGGATCATATGTTCAGTATGATTGGATATTTGAGCATAGCAGAATCCCTATTGATTCTGAGACTCAGATGACTTGGTAATCAATAGCCTGTGAAGTGATTTCGCCAACATTGTGACAGTCTGTCATTTTCATAATCAAGAAATAGAAAAACCAGCAGTGGGAAGTTCCTAATTCTAGCTGGCACATGAAAAGTAGCCCGTTTGACCCTCGCTACATCTCATTAAATTAAATTAAAATTTTCTCTCTCCTATTTTCAACCACACAATTTTTAATAAAATAATATTACACGTAAATCGAAAACTTTTAATTCTTTTACAACCATCCATTTAAAAAAAAAAAATATTATTCCCCCATTATAATCAAAATTAATGAGGGCCAAACGGGTTCATAGTATCATCTTTAAATGAATATATATTCTATTGATTTTCGTGATTTTGTACAAATTTCAATAGAATTCATAAGAATCTCATTAAAATTGTTGAAATTAAAAAAAAAATAGTTGTTAGGCTCAAAAAACGTCCAAAATCTTTTGAGATTCTTTTATTAATGAAATCTTCATAGTTTTAAGTTATTAATGATACCTGGATGTTAATGAATATTATCTCAGTTAGGAACCACCTGAATTTACAAGTACTTTAAAATCCATTAAAATCCTATGCTTCTAAACAAGTTAATATTTTAGGTATAGAATTATGTTTGTAAGTTGTTATTTATGTCATTTTATTTAGGTCATGATAGTAAATGAAAAAATAATTAAAAATTTAAGCAAAAAAATATTTTTTTTTTTGGCTGTGGCAATATAACAACCTTATCTAGAAATCTCACAAGGAAAAATCATTAATTTCAAAAATCTTTCTACTTTGAGAATTTTCTGATAGCAATCTTCAAAAAAATTCGACGACCAATTGATTTAAATAATTTCAGTCTTTGAAACTTTTTTCCGACGCTTACTTTAGTAATTTTCGGAATCTATTTTTGAAAATTACAAAATCTGTCGTTTTATTTATTATTCAGGAGAAACGCAGTTGAAATTGTAGCAAATTCTTGTGCAATTCATGACCAAAAATTCTTTTTATGACCAAAAATTGTTTCTTGATTTTCATTTCAAATTGTTCTTTGACTGGATTTGTTTTTCCGGTGTTAATATAGATGAGAGAAAAAAGAGAAAACCCCAGTTCAACCTAGCACGACTGGCACAAATGCCCTAGTTCAACTCAGGTCGAGATCTTTTGATTAGACGTCTGCCGATACAGATGGGAATTAGGAATCTAGCTGTCTTTTCTATTCTGAAAGGCTAAAGACCAGGGTCCATAAAGAAATAAAGGGAAATGAATCCCACAAATTACATGTATCCAACATAGAAAAAGTCAAAATTTAAGTTTTTAAAAGTTCGATAATTATCGTACACGGACAGATATTCTACCAAAGAATTCAACCACACAGTACAGTTCAGATTTCTATTTCTCTCCAAAATATATCTATTAATCCCAGAATTAGCCCAAAATAGCAAAATGCATTTATACTCTTGACCCAGTTTCAGAACATCGTTGCTATACTGCTTGTATGCTTTAACATCTCCTTTCTCTCTTCTATCCCCGCTGCCGGAAAGAGGGGTACATAGAAAAAGGTAACATATCACCTGGCATTCTTATTTTTGGTGATGTTTCCCTATCACACACATATACATAAACAGATCTAAAGAATTGTGTTTCATTCAGTGGTTTGTTTGATTTCGTTTTAGTAAATTTATAGTTTTCGTTTTCCAATTGATATGCAGAGACAAGCCCTTACTAATACAATGTGGATTTGCTCTTTTACAAATTTTCACAAACATGTTTATGGAGATTGAGTGTGAATCAGGTCTAAGAACATAATAAAAACCCTGTGATTTCAAAGAATTCCTGTAATTAATAATCATGACTTATGATGCTCGGACTCGGGTTCGGATATCGGAAACGAATTTGTATCTAAAAGTCCAAATTTCGGATATGGGCGCTAGATACGTGTTTCAAATAATTTTTTATTTTTTTTATTTTTTTAGTTTCTTACATTGATTAAAATAATTATTTATTTATTTTTAATTTTTTAAACTTCATTTTTAATAAAATTTTCGGTAAATCAAAGGGTTTGAACAAGGTTTTTCTAAACTCACTTTAAAAATAATTTGACCCACTTTAAAATTGTCAAGACACTTAAAGAGTGACAAGGCACACTTTAAATAATTTGACCCAATTATCAAACCCTTAAAATTGAAAATTTTCTCATCTCCAGCCGCTTCTCTCGTCTTCTCTAGTGGATTCCGGAAATTTTCCAGAGCCCATAAAACTTTGGGGCCATAGGCACCAAAACTTGGCTAAATCGGCGTGGTAGGTTAGTTTCTATTTTTCCTTTCATTTATTTTATTTTTTCATCTTTTCTGGTCGTAGTCAACTTTCCTAGATTATCTCGGCTTGAAAGTTGAAGGAATCAACTCGTATTTCATACAAGTACCCGTGTCATGTCACGTCACATAGGTCTACTGACCAGAATGTCAAGTCTAAGCATCAAAGATCATGACTAGTTGATTCACAAATAGAATAACCATTGTTGATCTGGATAAACAGATTTGTTAATTCCAATAAATATAGAATGGAATTAGAAAAGGAATTGGAATATTATTATACTCTTATTTTTTAGGGATATAATTAATTAAGGAAGTGACATTGTTCTAGTTATGTCCTTTTGTCTGCCAATTTCATTCACTTTTTCTTCCAAATCCACGCTATGGTCATGTGAAAGTTTCTGTCTTTGACAAATATTGAACTAACAAGAATTTGTTTAAATACTACACTTTTGGACATCCCATGTGGGCGTGAATAGAAACTTGAAGCATAATTTATTTTCTGTCTTTTCCTGTTCAATAATTATTTATTATTTTGGGAAGTGCATTAAATTTATTTTATTTTTTATTTTTGGGGTTTATGCAGCAGGAGAAGTGATATTTGGCGGAATATTCAGCGAATAGAGTCAGTTTTTGAAATGGATCATCTGAATCTTCTGAAATCTGATACGTATAGGGAATTAGAGCCAGTTAGGTCGGACGATAAACTCTTAGATAAGATTGTAAAACAGCTGAAGAAGGAAACAGATATAGAGAAATCATACAAGGATTTTCTACTGTCTCTTTTAACAAAGGAGGAAAGTTTTATTCCATGTAAGAGAAAAAGAGAAAAATATGAATGCAATCATGAGGTGAATGACCCGCAATATGAACTTTTCTTGCAGAATCTAGAGATATACAAAAAGACTTATGTATTGAAGCATAAGAAAAACAATTCATGCCTTTTCATTAAATATGGAGGAGATAGCGATTTGTATGAGAATGATAGCATAGGGGTTAGCCTGGAAAAAGGGAGCATCATCAATTTAGAAACGCACTCTGAAATGCACTCTGACTTCAGAAAAGAACTCATGTGTATTCTTAGAAAACCATTTGATAGAGACGAGTACAACAAGCTTCGGAATGATGTTGAAATCCATAAGGCAGCAGTTCGCCATAGGGAGCTGCGTAATGGGAGGGACAAAGAATGCTTCACAAATAAACCTGGAAAATCTTATCTTGATCTCTATCCTGGTAGGTTGAAGATCTTGGAGTTTCTTTTCTGGCATGGAAATTTCTTCTAACGTTTGATGTTTGATGGTTGCCATAACATGCAATGGTTTATTACAGTGAAATCGGGTTAAACCTCTGATGTCCCTGAATATCATGACCATTCCAAGATATGATAAATTTTCTTATAGATAATTCTATATGCATTAGTTGTGAAACATTATTCCTTAAATTGGTGGTTAAACAGCTTCATTATTTAAGTGTGCAAAAACAGCTTCATTCAGCATTCCACCTAATTTCCTAGGCTGGTCGTAGGAAAGCTCATTTGTCATAACTTTCCTGATATTGAATTAATCATTGTGTTTCTATTCAGAAAAATTTTTCGTACAAAACAACCCTTAATACTCAGAAATCAATGTAGATGAGCAAATCAAACAGATTGTGAGTGTTGAACTTTCATTTACCCGTTAAGTGAGTTGCCAATTTCCACTGAACAATAGCATAAGGTTTCTGGCATGTCCCCAACATGAACTTATTGAGTAAATATGTTCGTAACAAGAGAAAAATGTGTTCTACTCTGAATTTGTTTATGTTTGTCTATCATCTTAATTTTTCTTACTTTTTTGTACACGAAATCCTCTTGTTTAGTGTATGCTTCTTTATTAAATGAACAGCTTCATTAGAAAAGTTAACATACATTTGGTTATATTATTTTTATTTCATTTTTTTAGTCTATTGATGCATGTTTTACATTTAGCTATATATTGCATGCAGATTTGGAAAAAAAGCTATTAAGGTTCCGAGATGATCACCCAAAATGCTTGAACCTCTTACGTGGGTTCTTCTTTTGGCTTCAAGTGAGTGTAACATTTCCACATCTTCTGGAAAATCATTTAAGTTTAGCCTAGTTCATGAAAACCCTTTCCGAAATGACACGATGAATGTAAACAGTTAATTTTGAACTATAGTACTTTTTTTTTTATGTTGAATCAGTGTCTAACAAGGGACGGAGCATTCAAACCGTGGAATGATCCAGAATTCCTCGCAGTGGAGCAAATGCATCCTCAGTGAAAAATCAAACGAGCTATGAAGTAATGCAGGGAAAACAGCTTACTTTTGCGGAAGGAATTCATTTTCTTTTATCTTAATCTCAAGATTATTCCAGTTTGAAGCCTTGTTAAGTTTAAAAATAGATTTGGAAGGGGAGGATTTAGTGGATCTTGCGTGTATAATTCTCTTGCTGGTGACGGTTACCATGATGAGATAAATCCTCTTAATTCAGACAGTGATTCTGATTGTCATTTCTGCAACATTGAGTTATTGCCTTTCGGTTTCGGTTGTGTATTTCTGATTTTATTGAGCTGTAATATTATGTTGTCTGATGAGTACAGAAATGATCAGATCCGTCAGAAATAAAGCCAATTTATAACCCGGTAATTGCTATATATAAGAATTCATAATCATAAATTACGAGTTAAAAAAACCATATGTGAAAGAATGAATTTCAAGATCTTTGTGTGTGGTTGAATCAATTTGTATCTAAAAGCTCCAAAATCTGTATTTTATTGTTCTCCAATAATTCCAATCCCGATCACAATGGTAAGGAATTATTATTCATAATCTAAAAGCCTTATTTTGTGAGTTTTTATGACAAAATAGTGATTTTAGAGCATTTCTAGTTTTGGTGTATTTTCACATACGAAATTCACCATTCTTTTGCCATCTCTTATCGTTCTTTTTCAAGGTAATAATTATTGGAGATTGTATGGTAGCTAACAGTGGTTATAAGGAATTGTAGGTTTGAATTTTAAGTTCAAACCACTTTTTTCAACTCTTTTAATGTCTTATGAGTTGGGTCACCCCACATAGGTGACTTACGATCCATATTTTCTATTGTATCCCACTCGCCTATGGTGGACTTAACTTGAACCACAAGTGATAATGAATATCACACGTTAGATCATTCTCAATGTCCATCTCACAATGCTGAAAATAGATCGTGCGATCAGCTAGTACATATTAGAGCTTACTATACTATAAACTGTTAGGAATATAGAGTAGAGTTATTAGAGGAATGTTACATCTCGTTATACTTCAAACTCATGTTCAACATAAATTTAGTATTCGATCCCTTGAATATTTATGGAACATACATGAACTCCATATCGTATCATTGTACTCACAATTGTATTCTATACCCTAATTAATATTTAAAAATAAGTGTTCAGCCGATGAATACAAATACAAATGTCAGTTAAAATAGTTTTCATTTCCTACTTGAATTCTTCAACTCTAAATCAGCTACCTTTCTAGACATATTCCGTTAAAAATTGAATCAATCATAGTTATTGATAACACACTAAAGTAACAAAAATCTCAAGAAATAATCAAAGTTATAAGGGTATACGAAATTATATAAACTTCAAGGTCTTATAAAATTAGGAAACATGGATTCATTCACTAATTTACATAATATTGGTCGTAAAAGTACATATGGTAGAAACACGGCTACGATGTTTTTCTTTTCCTTTCTTAGGAGGTAAGGCATATTCTTTATAAAATAATAATAATAATAATAATAAATAAAATAACATCATACGGATCCTAGTTTAGATATTCTCTAATACCTAACTTGAGTTCTCCTCATGTTCATTCTTCTAGACAATTTTAAATCAAGAACTCGATCTGACTAATAAACAGGTTTAATAGTTAGCAAAATCCATTTTGATTACTCGTTATAATCTCATCTTGATATCTCATCAAGGCGATTGGATCATATTCACAATATAATCACTTTATCTCATCTCAGCACACCCCAAGTATAAGCCAAACATACTTTGTGGAATTCTTGGTGTCTTACAACCTAGAAGAGTGTTGAAAGGTTGTTATCAAAATTTTCAATTTCAAAAAGTTATTGCAGAATAATAAAAGTGGAATCCTGTGTTTTCTTGTATGGTTCATTATTTTGTTTGAATTTACAGATGAACACTTTTCTTTAAGACAATGCGGGAACTTGAAAATACTAGAAACTCAGGCACGCAACTATAGGATCAACCCCGTCGATCAATTAAGTATAATATCAAAATAATTAGGAAAATTTTCAGAACTAACAACTTTCACGTTTTAGTTTCTCAACCACCGAGTACGATCAAATTCATCGGCTTTGATCTTACGCCACTCCATGAATGTATCCAAAATTTTCTAGAATAATAACCACATTCTTATTTTCATGCCGAAATGTCGTCTCTATGAATGGATTCACTTTGCTATTCAATAATGACGATCTTCAATATAAAAATTGAAGAAACAACTGTAAAACCAATTATTTGTAGCCCATGTAATATTAAAGAATTAATTAAAGGTGATTAATATTACTAAAATCGTATTGGCCCAATTGAGAAATGGTAGTTTTATAATTGTCTACTTTGATGAAAAGTTGAGAGTTTTATGGCACAAAAGGAGACTGCCTCTCTCTGTCTATAAATGTGAATGAAACCCATCAATTAATTCATTCAATAAAAGAGAGGAAAAGTGAGAGAACGATTTCTTTAATTTAACAGTTTATTATTTTGCAGATCTAAAAAATTCTCAATTATTGCTATGGATCAAGGTATAGTTTCTTGATCAATTAAAATTCATATGTGAAAATCAAGAATTCTAAAGATCTTGGTATTAGGGTTTAATGTCTTACATGTGGTATCAGAGCTAAGTTGAAGAATTCTTGATTTTCCTTAAAGATTTACTGTTTTTCGTATGGGATCTTTAATTTCTTATTAATTTATGGATCAAATCATTACATCAAATCCCATTTGCTATCTACGTCGATTAATTGGTTTTTCCATGGATCCGATTTGGCTTTTCCATGCATATGAGAGAAAGAGACAGCCCTTCAAAGTCCATTATTTTGGCTATGTGTTCCTATTTATCATTATTAATCATTCAAAGTTTAAATAAATAAATAATTAGAGGAGGGGCTGAAACGTGTAAAATCGAAATTGCAGAAACCAATTAATGCATGAAAACATTTGCAGGACACATACCGTTTCTTTCTATAATCCCATGGCCTAATTAAACCCCATCCTTGGAAAATCAAATGAGGCTGACAATATGTACCTAGAATGCCATACTGTAGGTATATGTTTCTGCCATATATGTTGAATTGTTTAAGAAAATGGCAATCCCTCGTATTGGTTTAAAGCATAACATTGGCTGAAGTTTATGCGTTTGTGTTCAATATCGGTGAAGTACATATATATTGATTGTTTTTGGCAATTGGACATTTATTGTTTCATATTTTAATTTGAATTATGGATTAAATTAAATTATATCTAGTTTAACAGTTTGCAGTGCCTTGTTTATTTATTGTCAATAATGAATATTATGCCGTAATTATTTTACAAGCAATAATTGGTATGGAAAGTGACTTATTCAAAGGTTTTGATGAGTCATTTATATGAATGTTTTATTTATGTGATNGGTTGTTAGGGTTGTCTCAGAAAGTATACATCAATAAAGTTTTAGAGAGATTCAATATGAAAAATTGTTCAGCGAGTGTTGTTTCAATTCAGAAAGGAGACAAATTTAGTCTCATGCAATGTCCTAAAAACGAATTGGAACACAAACAAATGACAGCTATTCCTTATGCATCTCTTGTTGGGAGCTTAATGTATGCACAGACTTGCACCAGACCAGACATCAGTTTTGCTGTTGGAATGCTGGGCAGGTATTAAAGTAACCCGGGACTTGATCATTGGAAAGCTGCAAAGAAATTATTGAGATACTTGCAATGAACGAAAGATCACATGCTCACTTATATGAGATCTGATAACTTGGAGATCATTGGATATTCAGATTCGGACTTTGCTGGATGTGTGGATACTAGAAAGTCCACATTTGGCTATTTATTCCTCTTAGCTGGAGGGGCTATATCATGGAAAAATGCGAAGCAGTCAATCATTGCTGCATCCACTATGGAAGCCGAGTTTGTGGCGTGCTTTGAGGCCACAGTTCAAGGAAATTGGCTGCGGAACATTATTTCAGGACTTGGGATCGTCGACAGTATAGCCAAACCATTGAAACTTTACTGTGATAATTCTGCAGCAGTCTTCTTTTCAAAGAACGACAAGTACTCTAAAGGTGCTAAGCACATGGAATTGAAGTACTTTGCCGTTAAAGAAGAAGTTCAAAAACAAAGGGTGTCAATCGAGCATATTAGCACCAATCTTATGATTGCAGATCCATTAACAAAAGGATTGCCACCAAAGACATTCAATGAACATGTCGAAAGGATGGGCATTATTGAAAATTATCATTAAAATTATTATGCAATTTATGATACTTATGTATTGACATTTTGGGTTCATTTATGTATTGTTTTTTGACAAAATATTATTCCTGTCATAACTGTTGGTACATGTACGTGAATGAATTATGCAAATGCTGACAGGGATAGTCTTTTCGAAAACATTAATGTAATGCAATTATCTAACTTCTCATTATGTGTCATGTTGGGTAGGGACTAATACTGTAGTACATGGAAGGAATTATGCTTATATGATAGTGTAAAACTGCCATGACTCTTATTAGTCTTTACTTAAGGATGATATATTAAGTGACCAATGTATGATGGATTTTAGCTAATGGTATGCGCATTATGTTATATACCACATAACAAAACAATATTACAAGGGCCAAGTGGGACAATGTAAAACCAATTATTTGTGGTCCATGTAATATTAAAGAATTAATTAAAGGTGATTAATATTACTAAAATTCTATTGGCCCAATTGAGAAATGGTAGTTTTATAATTATCTACTTTGATGGAAAGTTGAGAGTTTTATGGCACAAAAGGAGACTGCCTCTCTCTGCCTATAAATGTGAATGAAACCCATCAATTAATTCATTCAATAAAAGAGAGGAAAAGTGAGAGAACAGTTTCTTTAATTTAACAGTTTATTATTTTGCAGATCTAAAAAATTCTCAATTATTTCTATGGATCAAGGTATGTTTTCTTGATCAATTAAAATTCATATGTGAAAATCAAGAATTTTAAAGATCTTGGTATTAGGGTTTAATGTCTTACAACAACAAGACAGCTGCTTCCTTTTTTAAGCATCTCTCTCAGCCAGAAACGTGAGTGTCCTTTTTCCCCCCCCTCCAAGGTGGGAACGATTCTCTTAGTTTCTAGCTCTAATTAAAGATCAAGAATCCATAACGGGAATCAATAACTTACCACAGATATTAATCCGGAGCAAGTTGATATTATTTTTCGAAGACACCCAATATATTTAACCCAGTAACTAAAGAAACCCACACAGAAAATAAGAATGGGATAATTATGGTTTCTCTTTTCTTGTACTAGCAAAATAATAATTGTATTATGTTTTGTTAACCCTTACATCTTATTAATAGAAGT